ACCAAGGTCTGATTCCCAGTCCTACGCCTTGTAATCAACAAGATCGTCTTTCTTTCCACCGCTTCCTACTTCTCATTTAAGCTAATTCTCCAACACAAATACTGTAATTAGACTTAGAAGGATTAGATTTTAATCAGTAAATGTCACTAAACATTGATTTTACCATACACACAAACCGATGAAAAAAATATTTCCATCGATCATCATCTAACTTTATAAATAGGAAAACTAAGAAAAAGACTGCTTGAGAAATATCAGAGTATGACTTAAGGATATTTACTTTGTATATTTTGACATGATGTTAACAATCTGTGTTTTAACAGCTATAAAGCTAATTTTTTGAATCTCAATGTCTGTCAAATAATTTGACTCCCCCACAACTTCCCAACTATGAAAATTTTAAATTGATAATTTTTAGTCTTATTTTTATCAAATTTTATCCATTGAAATTATTAAAAAAAAAAAAATACAAATTCTGCCAAGCCTATTTGTAATGTTCCCTTGATATCACCACTCTCAGTATAGAGCCTGGGAAACAGTATCATCTACCAGGTACACAAATAAGCTGCCAGAAGAGACAGATCTCAACTCCACCTTCCTCTCAACAGCATCTAGTGTCTCTGGACTACAAAGCATGAAAATGACTCATACCCTAGTTTAGAAGCACTGCATTTAGGCAGCCAGTTTGGTTACAATCATCCACCTCAAAAGCAAATATTACTTCTTGATAATAATGTGACCCTTATTAGCTGGGTGAAACATGACTGCACTGATCCTAGCCATCTAATCCTAGTCACCAGGTTAGTGTGGTCCAAGCTCAATGCACAGTGTTTGTCGGGAAGTACACTAGCCTGAAAGGATATTAATTGAATTGAGAGGTTTAAAATGTTTTCAGCTGAACGTACTTAGGCATTATGGTATGACCAAAAATTACCCTGGCATGTTTCATCCTGGTGATGTGTACCTCACTAATTTCAGTTGAGATATTTTCTATGTTGACATACTTACCCGGCTCATTTGGTATGGGGTATATCTCTAGCTTTCAGATGAGTTAGCCTCTGTAATGGATTATCAACTGTAATTGCAAGTTTAAGAGTTGCAGGGAAAAGATATACTTCCCACAGATTAAACAACAATCTGTGACCAAATGATCAGAGGTGCACTGAGATCAAATCCCTCTGTGCAATATGTGGTGGTATTCTAATGCAGTTATTTGCCAAAAAGGCAGGGCAATATTCAAGCTTTAGCAGCAGCTATAAACTATATGAAGCAAGAATGCCTCATTGTCTCCATAAAAAGAGATGAGAGTGGAGAAAAGGAGTTCTAACTTGGGGAAGAAAAACCCCAACCACTGTAAAGGGGCCATCTTTGCCTCCCACATCAGTTTGTAGCAGCTGGAAGTACTGAAGAGCGTCTTATGGTTTGTTCCACCTTCCCAATAAAGTTAGACTTTTCTTTCATCATTTAAACTCATCATCTCCACCATAATGTGTGCATACCCTCAAGCAAAGAAAAAAATCTTTCCCTATACGTTTTTAAAAAATGATAAAGTTGCAATGTATGGCTTTAAACAATGATTTCCATTTGACCAGTGAATTATAGGCACTATACAACCGAACATGCTACATTATAGACACGTTTTATTGTCAGCTAAATAGTGAGAAGAAACTGGACTAGCATTTCACCTTTGAAGATCTATTTTCAAATACTCTGACTCAAAAGTGTAAATTAATGTTATGGCCTCACTCCAGTTCAAACATAGGTGATAGTCCTGAGTTTTTGTAAAGTAGCCTACAAGAGCTGCACTATAGCAGGGTAGGTTCAAAGTGCTTTGGGAGACCTCTGCAAAGAAGCCCACAAAGGGTATACTTATTACATCATTTCTGGATCAAGACAGGACTGTTAGTCTTTCACTTTCACAAATAGTGAAAGAATAAAAAGGCACCAAATGCCTTTATCTTACTTAAATATAAACAAGAATTTACGAGGCGGGGGGTGGAAGGTTCCAATCGGAAGGGGCATAAGAAAGTGACCTCAGATTCCAACTATTCAATATATCTTCTTATTTTGCTAAAATATTACCCAAAATGCTAATCTGAACAGAAAATTTTAAACACCTTTCATGGGCAATTTAAATATAATCCAGATGTTTTACAACAGAATCAAAAATGCCAGCGCAAAATAACACTGAACAAAAAAAATTGGAAATTATGGTTTATCAAGTCTTTCTGGTGTAATTTTTAAATTGAAGATTTATGATAGAGATTGGAATACTTACTTTCTTCTTAACGACAGGGTGATGCTAAGTGCAGAAACACTGTGGTTAAAAGATACCCAATGCTTAAACCAATTTAAAAGCTATTGAGGTACAGTAACTCCTCACTTAACATTGTAGTTATTTTCCTGAAAAAATGCTACTTTAAGCAAAACAATGTCAAGCGTATCCAATTTCCCCATAAGAATTAATGTAAATGGGGGGGGGGGTAGATTCCAGGGAATTTTTTTCGCCACACAAAAGACATTATATACATATACAATATAAGTTTTAAATAATTTTAAACAATTTAATACTGTACTCACCAATGATGATTGTGAAGCTTGGTTGAGGTAGGGGCATAGTGGGGTTGGGACACGGCAGCTTGCCCCGCTCCGCCCACCCAGCGCTCCTGCCAAGGAGTAGGGTTGGGGGGAGCTTGCCCCACTGCGCCCAGTGTTCTAGCTGGGGAGCGGGAATGTGGCGTGGGGTCTTGCCCCATTCCACCCGCCCGGCGCTCCTGCCTGGGAGCCGGGTTGGGGGCTTGCCCGCTTCCCGGCTAGAATGCCAGGCGGGTGGAGTGGGGTAAGCCCCCCACACCCAGACCCAGACCCTGCCTGGAACACCAGGCAGAGCTAACCAAACAACCTTATAATGGAAAACTGTGCAACTTTAAATGAGTATGTTCTCTAATATATCAGAAACCTAATAATGAAACAATGTTAACCGGGACGACTTTAAGTGCGGAGTTAATATATTACATCAGGTTCAGCATGGCAGTAGGAGCACCTAAAATACTACTAAAACTGTAAGCCAATGTGTCCAAAGCATATACTATACCAGGGTTGGGGTGGAAGGCCCCATTGGCAACTTGGCAAGAACAACAACTATTTCGCTTTTAAGTGTACGTAACAAATGAAAACTAAATGCAACAATGCATATCTACTTGGATCTACACCTTTCTGTGACAAAAAAAAATTTGCACTGATTGCTGTTTGTGTTCCCTACCATTTTAGAATTTCATGGGTCACATTTGGCCCTGGGACTGCACTATAATCACCTCTAGTAAATAACCATTTTGGCGTAACACCTTTAACTTTTGGAAACAAATATTCCATTACATTATACACAGCATAAAGGGGCTCAGCTAATGTCACTTTATTCTAAAGCTATGTAACGACACAAATACTGTTGAAAGCTTTTAGACAATACTCCTAAAAAAGTTTCTTTATTTTATTCAAAAATAGGAATTCTGTTGCCCTAGACCAACAGTCTTCAGCAGAGTAATGCACGGTCTATATGGGTTTGTCTACCTTACAGAATTTTACTACCTGTACACAATATGAAGAATGGAGTTACATGACTATATTGACCATGACAAATCACATTCAGTATCAAACCCTTCTAGGACCAGCCAGAAAGCTGAGGGAGATGCAAAGTAACTAAGCAGCAGACACACACACACCCTTGGTAGCAACCTGTAGCATGTACACCAGAGTAGATTTAGTAGTGGGCTACAAATTTAATCAGACCCCTAATAGCACAATGTTGATTTAACCGAGAGAACCCCTGAACAGCTAAAGTAACTTGTTAAGAGTTTCAGCACTCTCCCCTTCCCCAGCAGCTGGAAGTTAGCATCTCATTTGGGTTTTGCTCCTGAGCAGTGAAACACCCAAGATCTTTCACACCTGTCTCTGGCTAGCTGGTTTATTTCTCCAGCTCAGGGGTCAGCAACCTCTGGCACGCGGCTCGCCAAGGTAAGCACCCTGGCGGGCTAGGCCAGTTTATTTACCTGCTGATGCGGCAGGTTCAGCCAATCGTGGCCCCCATTGGCCGCAGTTCACCGTCCCAGGCCAATAGGGGCGGCGGGAAGCCGCGGCCAGCACATCCCTCACCCGCACCGCTTCCCGCCGCCCCTATTGGCCTGGGACAGCGAACCGCACCCAGCGGTTGCCGACCCCTGCTCTAGCTAATAGGTGTCTAGTAAAACTTCCAAACCCTATGTCTGGAAGGCATGGATAAAGATGGCTGGGAAATATTGATGGGATGTTAGAAATGTACAGTATAGAGAAAGGTTTCTGAGCGGGGGTGGAAGAAGAAATAAAGGAATAGTAAGAAAATATGAGAATAGGAAACAGAACACAAAGTAAGAAAGGAAAAGAGATAAGAGGAGGGAAAGAGAGGAAACGAACACTGAAGACAATGCACAAAGATAGACCATGGTTCTATTATAGGAATGAAAAAGAAGGAGGGAAAACAGTAAGGACAGGAAGATCTAGGACAAAAGAAAGGGATGTTGTAAGTAGGGTTAGTCAGATACTACACAGCAAAATATGTACAATTAATTTTACTACAGTTTATTGATCAATTTAATTAATTTGTAATATTCATCCAGTTCTATAGCTAGTCAAATTTCCATTCAGCAAAAATATAAGTAGAGGTAGAATCTGTCAAACCTATTAAATTATTTTAATAAGCTATTTGACAAGCCCTACAAATTAAATTTAAAAATATTAATAGAAAGTTAATAAAATTAGATATAAATAATATATTTATTAATTAATAAAATTAAATATAGTCTACGAGTAAATAAAGTAAGTTCCCTTACATTACAGAAGATATGGCCTTGAGGTAGAAGTGGTGTTGGTGCCACAGGCATTTCTTTACCAGGGCTAATAGGCTTAGTCCTTGAGCTAGCATCAGGTAAATTTTTCAAGCCCTGCTAGGTTGTAAATAAGCTACTTACCTACTATCAGTGTCCAGCCCTACAAAGTCCTTTTTTTCAAAAGGGACACACAGAAGTGGGATCTTGTCACCAGATTTATCAGTGGCCCTGTCAAGACGTTTGGATTCCAGTACAATGAAGAGAGATTCAATAAAATCTTCTATTCTCTTCTCCACAGTTTCACACTCATCGTAACTAGGATAAAATGCCACATCTGTGCGGGGCTGCTCTGCAACCTCTCCTTGAAGCCCAAAGACAAACAATCGGGAATCATAGAGTGTAGGACCATATATTTCCTTCTGAAGGTGAAATTTTTCAAAAGTTTGGGGCCAATCCTTTGCAGAGGAACAGTCTGTTATGATTATGAGCCCCACAACTTTCCGATGAGTCTGAAAATCTCCCCATTCATTGTTTTCTGGAGGGTAGTGATGTCTATAGCGGATATATAGCACACGCTGGGAGTCACGGACATTAATCTGACTCACGGTTGAAATTCGTTTGTAGATCCTAAAGAAGTTTTCTTCAGGGACAATCCCAACTGGCTGGACCACAACCAGGAGAGTTTGATGGTCCTCAGCACACTGCATGTAGTCAGGAACACTCATTTTGCATCAATTATAGTCTAATAAAAAGAAAAAATATTAATTATTTTCACAGCATCAGAGGAGCGTATGGCACTTTAAAAAAAAAATAGATCCCTCCCCTACCGAGTCTGCACCTTGAGGGCTCAACCCTAAAACCCTCTGTCACACAAAGCAGAGCTAAAACCCCCATTCAGAAATAAAAATCCATAAATAAGATGTGGCTAAAGCGTAACTTATTAACTTTGTTGCTATCCTTGTCCCTCTTATACCTCCCTTGCCTGGTTTGTTACCCCTTAATGGGTTACTGGTATGTTTAATTAGAGCCTAATCTTGCAAACACTTATGCACATGCTTGACATTAAGCATATGAGTAGTTCCATTGACTACACAGAGATTACTCACATAAAACAAGGCATTTGCATTAATGATTGCAGGCTCTGGGCCTAAATTAGTAAGCATTATCTATGCAAGTTCTACCACTGGCAACAATTACATGCATTATTCAAAACTGTTTTCCATTCCATAAGCTACCATGCTAGTTGTTTGACGGAGCAAAGACTGGCAAGAAGATAGGAGTAGAGATCAGCTATGGACAATATTAAACAAATTTTTAACTCAACTTCAAGAATGACAAAAATACATGCAGAAATATTTCAAAAAGCAGACTTTCCTAAAATGCTGTCTCTGCTGCAAAAGAATGGCACTACCTAAACATGTTTTGCATTTCCCCCATTCCAGTTTTATATTTCTGAGGAAATAAACGAAAGAACTGTAGAGAAAGGGACAAAGGTAAAGGAAAAAAGGGTAAAGGATCTGTCATGTGTTACAAATGGCTCCTGGGGGTTAAAAAAGAATCATATCCAGTACCGTCAACCTTCTTTCCAAAGAGGGAATCTTACTGTTTATTATACAACAAGATATAATCAGAGTTTATTAGACATTTCAACATAGGTAAAAGCAAGATAAATTAACCTAGGGCAATAAAAAAAAGTTGGTATCCTGACGGAGTACCTCCTTTACAAGTTTCATTCCAACATAATTTGAAATGGTAAAGATACTAAAACCTGCAAAATAGTTTAATAATGGAAACTCTAACCCTAATAATACTCGCTATCTGACATGATTTTATTTCTGTCTGTCCCTATTTTATGCCACACACATTTTCTGTTATCTGAGCGCTGGCTGACTCCAATAGGAACTTTAATGCTGAACACTTCCAGATCCCAAATGTACGTTACAAACTCTCTCAAAGTGATTCCAGACACTGCTGTTTTACCACCACATCACTACAAATTAAACTACCACTATAGCAGGGACCATACTCTGCTTTACTTTCCTCTTTCTACTAATTCTGCAGCAATCTTATGCTGTCTATTGCCAAAGATAAACTGAACACACAAAAGGGGTAATCTTAGTAACGTGCTGGTGCAGCCATTGCACTGTTTTAAAAAAATTAACATAAAAAACAAGACTTAAGAGCTCACAAAGAAAGCAAAGCAATGTAGAAATTAAGAGGCAAGATTGGTTTTCATCAACTTCTGAGTAGGAAGATAACCATTCAAGAATTCATAAAGTTTAAATAAGACCTTCCCTTTTGAAGTTATGAGGGCTAAAATGCCCCATAAATTTATATACAAAGCAAATCCTACGTAACATTGTTAATATTAAATTTATGTAACAGTATCCTTAAGACATGTTGAAACATTGCAATAATTAAAGAGAAATACTGATTTTATATTTAATATTCATATTACTTGCCCTCACCAGGATTAGAGCCCCATTGGGCTAAGTACCATTGAAACACATACAAAGACACAGGCCTGGCCTAAAAAGCTTACAAGTGCCAAAGTCAAGCAAAAAGAGAAGCAGTGATCATGTATGTATAGAACAATTAAAAAGATGTGCACTACTGTAACAGTGTGGAGGAGAACCCACGTACATCACAAAGACTATTCTAGAACTCAAACATTATGTTTTAGCTTTGATATTTTATTCAACTACTGAAAGCCCATGCTGTCACACAAGGGCAGCAGTTAGGCCAAGTAATCCACCATATGTGCAGTCTCCCTCAGACAACCAATGAGGCTATTGCATGCAAGTTTGCTGTAGAGCAGTGTTTCCCAAACTTGGGACGCCGCTTGTGTAGGGAAAGCCCCTGTCGGGCTGGGCCGGTTTGTTTACCTGCCATGTCCACAGGTCCGGCCGATTGCAGCTCCCTGTTCCAGGCCAATGGGAGCTGCTGGAAGTGGCGTGGGCCGAGAAACGTGCTGGCCGCCGCTTCCAGCAGCTCCCAATGGGAGCCACGATCGGCCGGAGCTGCAGATCCGGCAGGTAAACAAACCGGCCCGGCCCGACAGGGGCTTTCCTTACACAAGTGGCATCCCAAATTTGGGAAACACTGCTGTAGAGTAAGGTGATGAGTGACTGAGTTAGCTGAAGAAACAGATTGACAGAGCCAGAAGGGTACCCAGAAGTCACTTACTACAGGACAGGCCCAACAAAGAAAGTAACAGAACGCCACTAGCCATCACCTACAGCCCCCAACTAAAACCTCTCCAGCGCATCATCAAGAATCTACAACCTATCCTGAAGGATGAGCCCTCACTCTCACAGACCTTGGGAGACAGGCCAGTTCTCGCTTACAGACAGCCTCACAACCTGAAGCAAATACTCACCAGCAACTAAACACCACACAACAAAAACACTAACCCGGGAACCAATCCCTGTAACCAACCCTGTTGCCAACTCTGTCTGCATATCTATTCAAGGGACATCATACAATCTAATCACATCAGCCACACCATCAGGGGCTCATTCACCTGCACATCTACCAATGTGATATATGCCATCATGTACCACAATGACCCTCTGCCATGTACGTTGGCCAAATGGGACAGTCTCTACACAAAAGAATAAATGGACACAAATCAGACGTCAAGAACTGTAACATTAAAAAACCAGTAGAAGAACACTTCAATCTCCCTGGATACTCAATAACAGACTTAAAAGTGGGAATTCTTCAACAACAAAAACCTTCAAAAACAGACTCCAACAAGAACCTGCAGAACTGGAATTAATTTGCAAATTGGACACCATCAAATTAGGCCTGAATAAAGACTGGGAGTGAATGGGTGACTACAAAAATTAATTTCTCCCTGCTGATACTCACACCTTCTTGTCAACTGTTTGAAATGGGCCACCTTGATTACACTGGCCTCATTAGCACTACAAAAGTGATTTTTCCTCCCTTGGTATTCACCCCTTCTTGTCAACTGTTGAAAATAGTCCACTTCCACCTTAATTGAATTGGCTCGTTAGTACTGACCCCCACTTGGTAAGGCAACTCCCATCTTTTCATGTGCTGTGTATTTATACCTGCCTACTGTATTTTCCACTCCACGAATCTGATGAAGTGGGTTTTAGCCCACAAAAGCTTATGCCCAAATAAATTTGTTAGTCTCTAAGGTGCCTCAAGGACTCCTCATTGTTTTTTAGTTAGCTCTGATATCACAATTGTCTATGACACTTGGCTTGGAATATATGCATGCCTCAATGCAGCTGTACAGTGCACAAGTTCTCAAAATGACTGAACTTAAAAATTGGACAGTAACAGACCACGAACCCCAATGATGATTGAACCTGGTGATATTCTAAACAAAAAGAGCTCTTAACCATATTTGTAGCCATTTCCATCGCTTCACATTGATTCAGAGACACTGTAGGCTTCAGAGTGAGTTGCAATCCTGAAACTTATATAGATTGCAAAGTTTCCAGTCAACACATCTTACAAACAATAACATTGTTTAGAGAGCTGTGCCTTTAGAGACTACAGTTATGTTATCGTAAAAATTCATTTGGGTGGAAAAAGTGGAAAATTACTGCCCTCTAACTTTAATCTAGTTACTTCTGCAACACTCTGGGTTTGTTTCTTTGTTTCTCAGGGGGGAAGGGGAGTTAACTTGGTCACCACTAAACTCAATTCTTGATCCTGAAAGGTGCTCAGCATCTCTTGACAAACTAAGCACCCACAAAAGGAGATGACGATCTAAAGCACCTCACAAGTTCATGCCCTAAAAACTTGGAGAGGGGGCAAGTGGAGGGGGGGACTCGTGCTCACAAATGATGTAGGAGCCTGAAGTAGAGCCCACAGCAATTATTTTCAATGATTATATATATGATCTAGAGGAGGGGTTGGCAGCCTTTCACAAATGGTGTGCTGGGTCTTCATTTATTCACTAATTTAAGGTTTCGCCTGCCAGTAATATATTTTAACGTTTTTAGAAGGTCTCTTTCTATAAGTCTATAATATATAACTAAACTATTGTTTTATGTAAAGTAAATAAGGTTTTTAAAATGTTTAAGAAGTTTCATTTAAAATTAAAAGGCAGAGCCCCCTGGACCGGTGGCCAGGACCCGGGCAGTGTGAATGCGACTGAAAATCAGCTCACGTGCCATAGGTTGCCTCCCCTGATCTAGAGGCCTATAAACTCATGAATGGTGTTGAAAAAGTGAACAGAGAAGTGTCATTTACCTTTTCCTATAATACAAAAACCAGAGGCCACCCTATTAAATTAATAGGTAGCAGATTTAATTTAAACGAGAGGAAGAACTTTTTCATACTATGCACAATTAACCTGTGGAACTCATTGCCATGGGACATTGTGATGTCAAAAGTTTAACTGGGTTCACAAAGGAATTAGGTAAGTTCATGGAGGATAGGTCTATCAATGGCTGTTAGCCAAGGTAGTCAGGAATACAACCAGATGCTCAGAGCAACCCTAAACCTCTAACTGCCAGAAGCCAGGAGGGAAAGATAGGGATGGACCTCTCCAAATTTGCCTTGTTCTGTACACTCTCCATGAAATTCCAGTACTGTTGACTGTTAGAGACAAGATACTGGGCTAGATGGACCATTTGTCTGACCTAGTATGGCAATTCTTATTCCAAATCCAGGTAGGACCTGAGGTTGCAACCACAATACACACTGGAGGAAAAAAAGATATTTGTATTACTACTTTATACAACGCCCAAATGTGTG